CGCTTGCTTTGCCAATGTTCTCAGTTACGTCTGCATCTGATCCTCCTTGTTCATCGATGATGCTTTCCAGGTATGTGAAAGATCCCACATCTTCCAGAGTTTCGCCGTCAAGTGCGATTGGATAGGTGTTCTACGTGTTGTATTTGAGGACCTTTGTTTTCCTCTTGTGTATGTTGAAGCCTACTGATGCAGAGACTGCTGCTACACTGGCTGTCTTTATCAGCATTTGTTCGTGTGTATGCGATGAGAAAGCTAGGTCATTTGCGAAGTCCAAATCGTCTAATACAAGAATATCCCATCTTGAATAGAACATCACACCCAAATAAATTAATGTTATACCGAATAAAATATCACACTGGGGAGTAGTCATCATACAGAGCTAGAAACGAAATTAAAGTTGTGCAAGAACCACAATGAGTAAAAGAATGTAATTTTGCAGTTTTAATCCCGTCATATTAATATTAGCATTTTAGGTAAGTCAACTTTAGAGTTTAGTCCTAAATGTGTACCCATCTATTCCCTATTTAGGTGATAAATTAAACCTAAACAGCAATCCAGTACTCTAAAATTCTAAATCCTTCTCTATGAATGTATGTTTGTGCTAGAAATCCTTTCCAAAAAATCAGAGAATCTTCACAATATTATCTAGATTAAATTCACTTGGTGTTGTTTACTTGTATCTTCTCATTGTTATTTAGGACTGCAATTGATCAGCCTCTTGTTGCCATATGTGCATCCTGTGTGTATTACCTCGATATTGCCTTGTCACAACTCTGAGATGCAGGTAAATGCAGCTGACGAGTTCCAAATAGAATGAAATATGCGTCAAACTGTATCCCACTGTTACGCACTATCCATATTTGCTTGTTATCTGAATTCATTCTACCAAACTTGTCATATATTACTATTAACAACTGAACACATAAAACCTTTTGTTTTCAAGACAGATTTTAAATATGTTTCTTTCATAGTTAAAAAGAAATCAGGAAGAAACGCTGCAAATGGATAGGACACACATCGTGGAAAGCACCCAACTGCGTCATAAGACAAGCCCTCACATAGAATCCTCAAGACTAAAGAACACATTACGCCGAGAAATGGAGATAGACATGAGAAAAATGAACAAGAATTGGATGGAACTAGAAAAGAAGGCTCAGGATAGAGTGGGTTGGAGAATGCTGGTCAGCGGCCTATGCTCCATTAAGAGTAACAGGCGTAAGTAAAGTATATTATTTTTTACTCGTAGTATGAAGCTTGATTTTACTATTTAAGAAAAAATAATAATAATTAACACAGTATAGACACTCCTAACAAGAACTATATTGATCAGTTGTGTTTAAGTACCTTGGTAACTAACTTCCTGATACTATAGAACTCGTTAATATCTTCAAAATTATTTGGTTTTTCTTATTTTTTTTATAAATTATTTCCGTATTTATTCTTAACTCTATTGTTGTTTTTATGAATGATGAAACAATGTATTGTTAAACTATGTGTATAGTTATCATGAAAGTGGGAAAATTATAATCTACCCTAATTTTTATTGTATTTTAACAATTAATGACATATATTACTTATTTGATTAGAATTGTTTGCAACTGTCTATTATGAACATATTCAGTATAGTGTAGACTGATATATCAAACAAACACAAAATATATAATTCTATGAAAAGAAAAATCATTATAAAAATGGAGGGTTTATGGAGATTGTAGTAATTACAGAACATGTTGACAAAATCTAATAACCATAAAGTAAATGCTCAATTTGCAAAATGACCATCAATTGTCTCAAAATTTGTCAGACTTCATTGGTCTTGCATTTTCATACAAATTGCATTCTGTTTCTATTCTTTACTGTTCGATCCTCTTGCCTCTCTGCTGCTAGACATTCTGTTTCTGACTAACTTCATATACTACTTATGTCGATATAAGTAGTACACACCACATCTCGAATATGAAGAGTATTGAGAAGGTTATTTCATCTTAATTTGATATTTAAGTAGAATGAATCGTAGATATTAATCATTCTCTAGAAAAAAACGCTATAGTCTCATCTCTTATTAGATTAGTAAACTTTAAGCGTAGTAAAATAAGTTTTCCTGTTATCATACTAACAAACTGACGATATACTATCAATTAAATATGAAGTGAATTAACACATTGTTCCTCTTGTATTCTATGGATACAATAAGGTATTTTCAAAAAAATACGGAGTAGTGTTTACATTGGGTCATCTGTATACATTCATGAAATTGGATTATTTTATGAAGATTTCGATGGAGTTTTTTTTGTTGTTGTTAAGATCTAAAATTTACACAAAAATTAAGAAAGACTAAAGGTAGCTTTACATTCTAGTCTAAGAATCAACTTGAACAACTTTACATAGAATGAAACAAAAGTTACTCAATTCTTGAAATCTGTTACCATAAATTTTCAATAAGATTAAAAAATTTCCCTCCCTCTTATGGTAACTTTCCCATTTTAACTTCTCCACTGGTCTAATGACTTAAGTTCAGAGTTATTTTCAATCTTATATATATCAATAATTAATTGTGTTTCTCCCAATGTTCTCTATTCCATACGATACCAAATAAAACTCCCCATCTAATCATATATAAATAATTAATAATGAATTCTAACTATATATTCTATTGTTTCAAAGGTTTTCTTTATATTTTTTGTTCATTTATTATCTTTCTGGTATACTATTGTACTTCTTCAACAGTTAGTTACAGTATATTGTTTTAATGAATCGTTGAGTGAAATTTATTTTTTGAAGTAATTCAGGCGGTAAATTTAAATTAGTTAGAGAATTGTTGAAAATATAATGGAAGACTAGATAACTAATTTAACCCAGTTCTTATTCCTTTCAGAAACAGAATTGAAATTAAGACAATTATATCATGTGATGAGTATAATAGTGTCAAATCATTCAGTTGGAATCTATTAGCTTATATTTTAAATTTCTTTTTGGCAATATGTGATATAACATGATTCATGTCATAATTCAACTTAAGAAATGTGAGGTGTTGAATTCTAACTTAAAAGTTTATTAGTTATAGGTAAACTTTCAAGTCCTCCGTTAGACACATTCTAGAGTAATTCCAAACAATAGTTATTAAAGATGTTTATTCGTGTCGAAAGTTATACGTCTGCATCAAATCCACCGTGTTCATCAATGATGCTGCCCAGATATGTAAAGGTTGTTACATCTTCCAAATCTTCTCCATCAAGTGTGACTCGATTGTTGCATGCTGTGTTGTATCGAAGAATCTTGCTTTTCCCTTTGTGTATGTTGAGGCCTACTGCTGCTACTACACTGGTCGTCTTCTGTTGTATTTGTTGTTGCGTGTGCGATAGAAGAGCCAGATAATCTGCAAAGTCTAGACCGTCCAGCTGGATCCTAGCTGTCCACTCTATTCCATGCTTCTCCTCAGATGCTAACGTCTTCATGATCCATAAGAAAATTACTATGGTTGGATTATTTTACTCTTTGGTACTCAGTGGTACAATTAGTCTCTTTTGATGTATAAATAATAATACAAGTGTAAAATGAACAAATATAAATTATCGCTGTGCGAATCCTCAAAATGATATATATCAGTACAAAATGTATATTGAGAATAATGGGTTCATATACATAAATGAATTTCAATAGTTGAGATCATGAGTCAATTGAAGCTAGACCATCATGGAAAACCTGGAGGCACTGGACAGCCATCCCGTCTCACTATGGGACTCCTCATCAGTGCGCATCCATGATCCCGCCTCGCGAGATTCCAACCCACGACCTATCGGTCTCACGCTTAGGCACTAGACCACTGAACCGGCATTCAATGGTGTTATTGTTTAAGTTCAACTAATCCACGAAATTCAGCGACACATCCACCATTGTCATCAGTGAGTTAGTATCTCACAACAGACCCCGTCGAACTCCACTGTTCACTGCTTCTCGCTAGAACTCGAGGAAATACCTCTTGGAGACCGTCACTAGTGAGCATATGTTGATTAATATCAGAAGGGGGTTTTGTGGAGATTGTAGTAATTTCAATAGTTGAGTTCATGAGTCGTGGATGCACACTTCTGAGAAGTCCCACAACAGAACGAAACGGCCGTTCAGTGCTTCCAGGTTTTTCATGGTGGTCTAGCTCCCATTGACTCATGATCGCAACTATTGAAATTACTAAAATCTCCACAAAACCACTTCTGATAAATAAATGCCTAACTATTAAATTTTACACAGATTGAACTAGTTATGCACTACTGCCGAAACAAACTTACATACTGTTCGCTTTCTAAATGGATAACTTGTACCAACAATGTTCGTGAAATTAAACAGAATTTTAAACATCAATGATGGTCTCAAAGTTTAGGCATGCAGGAAAGAAGGATCATAAAAATTTCATAGCATAGTCTAGTACACGTTTTATGTTAAGGGTTTTAATGTGATCCAGGTACTTGAAATGAAATAGCTGAAAATGGATATGAACTTTCAACTGAATTCTTAATGCATAGATTAAAAATAACTAAGAATCATTGTAAAATAATACTTCGTATTACATTTTAAAATAAGCTGTAATTTTTCGCTTGATTATAATTTTTACACTTTTCTAAAGATATTTACAGTGATATGTTACTTTATAAGACCCTACGTAATCACTGGACAGTAATTGTTGAAAAGGGACTGATTGAAGTTAGACATTAACGCCGCTGAATGCCGGTCAGTTCAGTGGTCTAGATGTTAAGCGCTGGTACGCGAGATCAATAAGTCCTGGGTTCAAATCCCGCGAGTGAGATCGTAGATGAGCAATGCTGAGGAGTCCTGTACTAGGATGAAACAGCTGTCCAGTACTTCCAGGTCTATCTTCAATTGACTCATGAATTCGACTATTAAATTATTGAACAATCTAAAATAAACTGTAAGGAAATATGAATCACTTCAAATTTTTGAATACTTGAACAGAAAATTAAATAACAAGTATAAAACAAATTCATCAATGTGAACATTTTTATTTTACATTATAAAAAAAGAGTATTTACAAAACATATTCAATTTTATACAGAATATGTCATATCTATAACTTCTAAAGGCCATGATAGTTCATAAAATGCTGAATTCGACATGATCTTTTGTGATGATGACGATGATGATGTAAATAATTCACCATTATCTTGTTGTATAATATGATCAGTTAAATGTGTAACACTTTTAGCTAGAATATGCCAACCATTTAAACATTCCTTTTTATCATCATAATCATTATTATTATCTTTATTAGGTTGAACTAATTTACCAATTACAGCAACATAATCTCCAATATTTACTTTATAATTGACTGGTTGGTTTTTGTCTAAATCATAAATAATTAATAATTCACCTGTACCATCATCTAATAAGAAATTATTACTATTATTATTAGGTGACTGATAATTTTTTATGATTCTACCTTGTAACCAAAGCATACACCATGATAATTTCTTCAGAACACTATTATTAGTATTATTGGTGGTGGTGGTGGTGGTGTTGTCAAGGAGATCCATTTCCCAAATTTGTCGAATTGAATTATATATTGGCAATTTATCAATATTATGAAATAATTGTCCAATTAATAATTTTCGCATTAATGGAGGTGCTTCTAAATTAGACGACGACATTACTGTCTAAAATTCAATAATATCCAAACATATATTTATGATTAGTTAATATAAGAAAATAGTAGATATCTTGATAATAATAATAATAATAAACAGTTTCATTTGAGAATTAAATAGTAAATCACTGGAAATGACTGAAAATGGTGAAAAGAATATCAAAGATATTATTAGGAAAAGGATCAACAAGTTAATGTTTAGGATAATAATCATCGAACATGTAGCTAATATGTCACGAAAAGGACCCCGAATTCCCTGGTACAACCGAGAGTGGGGAGAGTCAACTCTCTCTCTCCCTCTCGAAATGCTCTCACATGGCCACGTACATACAATCACTGCCAGGGAAGTCCTACTCACTGCATTCTCAAGACGGGGGTGTTGCTTACGGAATTGAGGGGACGAAAAGCAAATGTCCGACGCTTTAATCGGGTTGATGAACACGGAGAGTTCAACTAGGGAAGCTGGAAAACCCTGATTCCAAATCAATGGTGCACATGGGCTGGCTCCAGGATCCTGAAGGAACAAATGGGGTATGAACCAATCGTTGGTCACCAGCTACCAGGGGACTTCATCTCCTGACGTTGGTCCATTGCCCTGTGGATTAAATCTTTAGATCAAAGAGTCGGGATGTGGTCTCCTAAGAAAACCACCTGATTCGGTAAGGGCACCCAGGCACTAACCCAGCCCTCACACAAATCGACTGATTTATGCAACGCATATCTATTTAGTTCCTTATTGTACCTATGTTTAAGTGTTTAAATAAAAATAAAAATGTCACGGAAAGACATCAAGAGTGTGATATCATTACAAAAGATTTTAACTTTCCAATAGTTTATAATAATGACTAAATCTTAATCAGTATTTGTAAGAATATATGTATCCTGCGTGGATTACTTGAAAATAAGCAATTTTCGAAGATTTTATAGAATAATTAGATTTGTAGCTATCAATGGAATATAGAAATCCAATTTTGTCCTATTTTAGATACGTCACTAATAGTCAATGGTTTGAGTTTCAATATGAACATAAAAATTGGGATCATGTATTCAGTTGACAAGTCCGAATTAGGACGAAATGTGTGTCTTGAATCTTGCTGTTAGTCATAGATGAATTTATTCTACCAGTTAAAAATAGGATAATTATCATTATTATTATCCGATGAATAAATTTAACACTGAAATTGATTATATGCTGTCTCAATTAGAACCTGAAAACTCTCTATTTAAGGTATTTCACATAATCTTATCTAAAAACTAAGGGCTTTCACAAGTATTATTTGTAATATATCTTTACAGTAAACTGATGACTTGTCTACAAATAACTTGAACTATCAAATAACAACTACCACATAAAGCTATTAAAATGTTCTTACCACAGGATAATTCACTAATTACTTGAGTTCGTAACCAACAGTCAGTCAGCTACAACGTATGACCAGGCATATATATGCATCGGTCCAGGTTGCCATACGTCATTAACATAAGATGAACGCCGGATTCATAAAAGTAGTTAATTCAGAGGTGGTGATATACAAAGAAAGATTGCATATAAGGATATAGTACAGGAAGAAAGAATTAGTTCGTAGAAAGAAAGATATGAAGTGATTTTAATCTCTTAGTTTAAGAGAAGACATGGAGTGTATACACCTTCGTCATTGTGATAGATTCTGAGCCATGGCACCCAGAGTCTACAACCATTGGTTACGATAGTCATGCGGACCCCAACCAAGTAGTCTGCATTTACCAACATGGCTCGTGACCGATAGAAACGTGTACATACTTATTTAGTAAATATTAATAAGAAATATATTTATTTTTATATTTCAATGAGAAGAAAAATTTTATTTCTGACATTTTGTAACTTAGCGTAAGCCATTTCTTCAATCTACTCAGAAGAAAAGGCTTACATTAAGTCGCAAAACGTCGGGAATACAATTTTTCTTCCCATTGGAATATTACAAAAAAATGGGTTTATTATCAACTTTCTACCCAACGCTCAATTTATTTGAAACTATCAAGTTCAACTTTGGCATTGATACCTATAAACTCATTAGTAAATATTACTTAGTTCGATATTAAAAGTAATTGATGGATAGTGTTAATTATGCTTAGACATGGGCTAGATTACAAAACCTTAATGAATCATTAATATATGTAAAGTAAATAATCTAATCGACAATATTAAATAAATTAATTGAATAAAGTTAATAAAACATTCTGTTTCACAGAAAGTCTACTGATTAATTAACAACTAAAAATGTATCAACATGTTTCCCGATATATAACAATCTCCAAAAGCTAATGCTTGGAATACATAGTGGGTATAAAAGTGATGTTTGTAGTGATGATACCAATCAAATAATCATTCTACTCTTAGCCAACTACTGATAACCTTCATTTTTCAGTTAACATGAAGTGAAATACATGTTTTTATTGAAATAGCATTACTAAGAACCATAAAGTAAGTTTCTCTTAATAATAAATGTTAAACTACTTGGTACACTTATAGGTCTAAAGTTACTTGCCAATCGCTTAATGTTAAACACAATGAATTACAATCACGAGCCACTTAGTTTAATGAATTTGTGGACTCCTAAGCAAAGAAAGACATTAGTTATTGATCCGTGGTCCATTAATCCATACTTCTATTCGCATGTTCTTGCGAATTTCATTCAACAAATAAAACTAAATCAAAAAATCCGTTTAAATGACTAAAATAACGCAAAAATTATTCGAAATTCATATCACATATTACGATAACATGGTTATCAAACTTTGATAGTAAATATCTAATACGTGACTGTAAATAATCGTAATGCAGTTTTGTATAGCTGTTTGTAGCTTATCACAATCTGAGATTATTCGGATTTCACTACAAGTTCCATCATAATGAAAAATGCTATGCAGTTTTATATGAAGCCATTATGCTCTCAAATTTATTATAACCATCTTAAGTTAGGATTTCGTTAGGAGCATAAAAAACCTGCCTGAAACGACCTGAGGAAGAAGAGCTACTTTTAAAATATTTTAACGAAATAAGATCACTGTTTACTACATACATTGATATGAGCACCAAAAGAAACTAAACTAGTCTCGAATAGATTATGATTAATAAACTGGAAAAGGAAAGAAATTCAATTGAATATTTTCAACATTGCTTTTGAATCCTACTGTTGAATATTTTTTTTTAAAAAAAAGCAGCAGGACAGGTATGTTTACAACGAGTGTGGTGTGTGCTACTGATGTCGACAGATATAAGTAGTATTTTTCATCAATCGAAATTGAAATGTCTGGAGACAGAAGGTTAAGAAGAACGAAGAAAACAAAACGAGAACAAAGAACTATTTGTTCTGAAATGAAAGGACAATGAAATATTAGACGATTGACTGATATTCGCAAAAGGAACAGTCAAGTTTGAGACAACCGAATGACATTTTACAAATGGAGTATTTGTTATATGGTTCTGAGATTTTACTAAGATGTTCTGTAACTTTATGTTCAAATATATTCGATTGTCCTCACTTATGTTCTTGTTCACTACACAAGTGCATATGTGACAAAACACTAATAAATTGAATACGAGACAAGGATAACAGAAAAGTAGTCTCTATTGATAACATAAAGTAGCAGTGACTCCTTGAAATACTCATATTCATTCATTCTAGCTTTTTGAAAAGAAATAATTTTGCCTATCCTTTATATGTTTGCATATTTATCTTGATCAATAGAGAAAAAACCAACTTCCAGTTTAAGGAGGAAATTAGGAAAAGACGATGGAAATGGATAGGACATATATTACGAAAATCACCACAACTGCATTACGAGGCAAGCCCCAACTTGGAATCCGAAAAGGAAGCGGAAAAGAAGAAGGCCAAAGAACACATTATATCGGGAAATAGAAGAAGATATGTAAAGGATGAATAAAAACTGGAAAAAGCTGGAAAGGATTGCCCAGGACAGGGTTGGATGGAGAGTGCTGGTAAGCAGCCTATACTCCTCTGCGAGGAGTAACAGGCGTAAGCAAGTAAGTAATCTTGGTCAATTATTGACTTATAAACTTGAAGGTTGTTATGAATCAGAATAATCAACAGAATATGTATGGAAATAATGATTGATTGTCAACCTAAGGCTACGGGATTGAATCCGTTGGTCATTTAATAACAAGCAATTGTAATAATGATGTCATTCATAAACATTACTCCATACAAACAAGCATAAACATACACAATGAGAAATTAAATCAAAACATAAAAACAAAATGTTTGCAAAGTAACTTCAAATATATATTATATATATATGAATAGGTCCATTCATGTTGATATGGGTTGTTTATCCATATTGTTTCTAGGAATAAAATTGTATTGTATAATGCGATTTTATTGTTCCAAGAGAAACAAAATTAAAACATAAAAGAAACAAAAAAACACAAACACTGACAGTTATTTGAAAGTTTTTTTCTTTTCTTTTCTTTTTTTATTAAAAAAAATATCTATATATAAAGATCAAAATAGGTTTTCTGTGTGACTTGTGCTTGAATTCATTCAATGCATCATATTAGTTTATATTCACAAGATCTAATCAAATACATCAAGAGAGATAGTAACAAATTGGTAGGTGAAAAATCACTATCATTTTGTGCTTTTTAAAGAAAGAAAGAAAAAAAAGAAGGGAAAAAACTAAACAACCTTTTATTGAAGCAACAAAAAAAAACTATCTCAATAAGACGATAATTGTAATATTAGTAATAATAACCGTTGTTATGATAAATGAATAAAGTCAAATAAATTTTATGATCACATCTATCAATATATAGGAAGAGAGAGAGAGAGGGGGGTGGTAAAAGAGAGACGTTATCGATATGTGTAGTTGAGTTTACCTTCTCTAATTCTATACGAGGCACATATGGAACAATAACTGAATACATGCAAAAAGAAAGAAAAAGGGATAAGTCAATAGATACTCCCCTTCTTTCTTGTTGTTCTGTTTACAACAACAAGAACAACAACAACAA